ACCAATATATTACTCTATACTAGTATATTAACAATATATTATATTACTATTATATGTCATAAGAGTTCCATTTACAGCAGGTAAAGCTTAGTGCATCTTTCATAAGGAACATTTTAAAATTAAGGGATATTTATTTTTATTCATATCCTGCAATGTTTAGAAAACATCTGAGTAGTAAAAAAGATATGAAATATGATTTTAAATTCCTTAAACTAAAGCCTTTTGGAATAGAATAATGGAAAAGAATAATGGTAAGATGCTTATTAAATTGAAAACTACTCTTTAGCTTTTAAACAGTTTTTAACTCATTTGCTTAACATTTTTTCTCATTGGGCACTTGAGTTTAATTTTGGTTTATAAAAGATACTTATGAACAAACACATAGGAAAAGAATACCTTTACATCCAGTTCTTCAGAGTTTAGCCTAAATGACACCAAAGCTGCATAAATCAGTGCTAGGTGATGAAGTGTCTTTTCTGTAAGCGGATACCTATAAATAATTATATTACTATATTTCTATTCATTTGATATCAGATTATTAAAATTTCATTTTATTTTCCACATTTCATAATATTTTTAGAATAACCTAGCTAAGACAATACTAGTGTGGCAAATTTGTGGAGGTTTTTTGCCCACTCTGTATTTTTGAAAAAACATCTCCATCTCTATTCTTTAATAATACTGTAAAACCTAGGGGATGCTAAGGGTATGTGTGTTGTGGGAGGAGTGGGTTGTGGGAAGAGCTTAAATCATCCCTTTACTGACTCCAGGGATGGCTTTATGACCAAAGCCTAGCCAAGTAAAATACTACATACCTCATACCCCTGGTCAAAGTAACAGGTTCTGACATGGACACATGACCAGAACCAGGATACATAGAATCCTTCCCATAGTTTTCTGTGAACTGTTAGAAAAAGCATCCTTTTCTTTTCCTTCTGTGGTTACAAAGCGGGTCAGATGTAAGTGCTGAACTGTGGGTAGATGTGGGTAGATATTTCTACCTTTACCCACTTTATGTACCCTAAGCAACAAAGAGGAAATCACTAGCTTATATTACTAAGAAGTTGAGGGGAAAGCATTGTTGGATCCTGGGACTCAAACAATGCCATCAGGATAATGGCTCTCTTTATTTCTTGGCTCTTCTTTCCTCTGTTTTGGATTCTTTCTCAGATTAGCTCTTTCCATATGAAAGGCTGATAGGAACACTGCCTAAACTGTTGACAATATAATTTCTGTTGAACACCTGCTTTGCTTCTTAGAGTCTAGAATTTTGATTAAGTGCCAGGCAGAGGTGCCTACTTGACCAGCCCTTAAAACAACCCTGGGCAATGTGTCTCGAGTGAGCTGGTCTGATAGACAAAATTTTACAAGTGTTATAAGAGCTTGTTGCTGAGAAAGTTAAGCACATCCTGTATGACTCTACTAGGAGAGGCCTCTTAGAAGCTTCCTCCTAGTTCCCTCTAGACTTTGCCCCATGAGCTTTTTTCCTTTGCTGACTTTACATTATAAGCTTTGTAACCTTGCACCATAATAAATCATAGCCATGAATACAGCTATATACTGAGTTCTGTGAGTCCTCCTGGCAAACCATCAAACCTCGATATGGTCTCAAGGACCTCTGACACTCTTACTCCAGCAATAATTAATGGCATGAACACTATCATAATTCAAACAATTTCTTCTGTATTTTCAGTTTTCCTCATTTGGTCAGTTGATTAAGATACTTTCTAAATGTTCTAATTCTCTAAAAATATGAATCCGAGATGCCTAGAGGTCTGAAAATAGTTGTATTTTATATTATTGTGAATAAATGATCACTCTACAACGTGAATATAAAACTATCTCAGAGTATTACATAATTCATTATTTTCATGAAAATCTGGGTAAAAATAAGTTTGAATCTCCTTTTATTCTCCTTTGTACCTCAACTGTACTACTAGAGCTATAGGGAGACAGTAATATAAAACAACTTTAAAAAATTTCCAAATCAGTTATTTATCCAGAACACTTCCAAGTTCCAGATGAATCTTAAAATACAAGAAAGTTCAAAGCTTAAAATCCTTACACCTTTTATTATTCTTCAAAATTAAGGTTTTAGACTGAAATTATTATTTTTCAGTTTTGACAGAAAAGAAAAACCAGACTAAAACACTTGCTAGAGGTTATTTGTTAATAGAAGGAGGAATAAAAACCAAGGTATTTAGACCCTTATATTCTAACTTATACTTATCCCAACCTGATAATAAACATATACAAAAAACTTAGTACAGTAGTTAAACAGAAATCAGACAAATCCAAAATTACAAAATAATAAAATACTTAAAGCAGCAATTCTTAGTGAGATGGCAGGGAGTGGGGCAGGGGGAGGGTGGATTGCATAGAATGTCCAGGGAAACATGTATCATCTCCAAAATTCGAATTTGTTTTCCTACAATCATACCTCCAGCTTGAGAATTCTTGACTTAAAGCAAACTAGATAAGCAAGAAGAACATTGCATAGCTATTTTCATTCAAAGAAGAGGACTTATGCTTAAGAAATATGAATATAATTTTGGATGAAATGTTTACCCACTCTGAATTTAATGTTTCTTTGGTATATAAAATTATCCAACAATATCTGTACTGGAATGATAATGCCATCAGCCTCATAATAATATTGTCTGATGCCTTCTCACAATTTAATTCTTCTATATCCTATCAGAAAATAAAGAACATGTAAAAATTCATTAGGTTGAGCAATTTTTATAAAATTATTTTATCAGGCCGGGCGCGGTGGCTCAAGCCTGTAATCCCAGCACTTTGGGAGGCCGAGGCGGGTGGATCACGAGGTCAAGAGATCGAGACCATCCTGGTCAATACGGTGAAACCCCGTCTCTATTAAAACTACAAAAAATTAGCTGGGCATGGTGG